ATCATTGTTTTTTTTAAATCACATACGACCATATTGTAACATCGACTGAGATAAAAAATAAAATGAAATATTAAAATCAATATGTATCTCGTTGCATTGCACGAGTACCCTTATAATATATATATATATATATATATATATATACACACTATATTATAAAACATTTGACAAAAACTCTTAAAAACTCTTTTTTATGCATGAAGTACTGTATATTTATGCATATTGCTTAAAATTCAAGATTACAAGTAAATTATACATAAGTACAACTTATTAAAACTCCATGTTTGAATTCGTGTAACTAACTGCGGATAAACATAATCGAATAGTGGATAAACATCTCATTTAAAAATTAAAATATAATCTATATCTATATTATATTAAAAGCATTTAACAAAAACTCTTAAACCATTTTTTATGCATGAAATACTGTATATTGATGCATATTACTTAACATCTAAGATTACAAGTAAATTATGCATAAGTACAATTTATTAAAACGCCATGTTTAAATTCGTGTAACTAACTGCGGATAAACATAATCAAATAGATGATAAACATTTTTTTTAAAATATAAAAAATCCAAAATATAATTAGGATAATTATAGAGTTCTGACAAAATAATTAGTTATTATCTTTATTAGAAAATTATATTCTTAAACCGAATATAAGTTACTTCGTTATTGAACGTAAACTAAATTACAATAAAAAAAATTGAATAAATAAATTACACAAAAATTAAGAATTTTAAACTAATATCGATATATTTTGTCAAATTTTTATGATATCTTCAAATTTTTATTTTATTCAAAAATAAAAACATTATCACCTTTTCAAAATCACATAAGACCATACTATAACATCGAATGAGATAAATAATAAAATAAAATATTAAAATCAAGATGTATTTCACAATATTGTACGAGTACCCTTCTAATATATATATATATATATATATATATATATATATATATATATAATAAATGATAACGTTGGATTTCCACAAATACATAAGAATTAGAAGTATAAAGAAAGCGAGATTAGAAACTTTTGCGTCCATATTGTACTACGTTTCAAGTACAAATTGTTGTTTTACTTATTTCATCACACTTGAACAAAGTAATTAAATGATCTCCGGTTGACTCCTAAAATTAAAGATTCTATTTTGTTATTCGAACACATTTTACTCAATTTGGAATATTGAAAATATGGGTCGTTAATCAAATATTTATTTGGTAAACACTTACCAGTAAAATTCAATATTATCACATATACTTATTGGGTAAGATTTTAGTTCACCAACACGGCATCATATACAACAATTTATCCGGTAAGCGTTAATTGTGATAAGAGTCGTCACCATCACTTACCGGGTAAGACTTTCGGTCCTTGCTTTCTTCTTACCGGATAAGATTCTTGGTCCTTGTCATATTTATCCGGTAAGATAATGTGACTTGGGTCAAAGACCTTCCAGCCTAGTGGTAAAGGCTTGGGCATGACATAGTCATGAACCCGAGTTCGAACCCTGGGAGAGGAGTGTTGGCGACATTTAAGTGAGGCCATGTTTGGCCTCCAAATTTGCCGGGGATTAGTCAGGCTTTGGCCCGGACACCCTTACAAAAAAAAAAAGATAATGTGACTTGGTAAGTGTTTACCCGGGTAAGCGTTTAGTAAGTGAATGTTGATATATGTTAATAAAACTGAAAAAATTTATATGTTTGTCTATCAAAGAAACTCGTATTTTTTTAAGTTATTTTATTATCAATACACGTTGCAATGAGTCATGTTATATGTTGATGCATAATGACTCATCGTAAGTCACTAAATACATTAGATGACAAGAACAAGAGAGATTCCTAAGTACCCTTTTGAACCAAATGATATATTTAACATGAGAAATTGTAAATAAATATAATCTTGAAAGTTCTATCAAAATAATATTCAATATTAATAAAAACGATAATTGTAAAAAAAATTAATATTCTTATTAATATTAAAGAGATAGTACATACTCGGTTGTATGATATAAAAGTTATGGTTGTCACCAGTAGCAACTCTCGTTCTTCTTTTGAACTAATTACAGTTTTGGTCATTGTGATTATCATTTTGTTACCATTTTGTTTAACTTAATTCCTCTTACTAACTTTCGTTTAAAATATGTTAACTAAAGGTTTTTGGCCTTTTTTATCCTATTCATCTTTTTCTTATTTTATTTTATTAAAAAATATTTTTTTTATCCTCTAATCCTAGTCATCTTCTCCGGACAGATTTATATTGTCCGGCCAACGAATGAAACCCATCGAAATAAAAAATAAAACCCACCCCAAACATAACCCACTTCTTCTTCTATCTCAAGTATTTATAGGTAGGATTAGAGAGAGAGAAAGAGAGTAGAGAGGAAAAATGACTTTTGAAAAGATGTGCAAACGATGAAAGTCTGTGCACATCCTTATCCTGTGATTGGATGGAATATAAATGGGTCGCGTGTGTCAAATGCACGCACACGTATCGACATCCATTTAAATAAAAAAAAAATTAATGATTTCATAAAAAAAATATGACCATTCATTATCATTTTCTATTAAAAGATCACTGGATATGAAAAGAATACAGTAAAAAAAATTATGTCTTTTAAAACAAGGGATCACTGAATAAGAAAGGTTCAGTGATAGTTTTAAGAAAGGATATATATCTTACAAGTAAGATATATTTTGAAAGGTTCAGTGATAAAGAGATAATCACTGAGATATTTCACTTTTAAAACATTTTAATCACTGAATAAAAATAGATTTAGTGATGGTTTTGTTTTAAGAAAATACAAGTAGATATACCTTAGATCATACTTACTTAAAAGGTTCAGTGATAGAAAGAAACACTGAAACAATTCTTTTAAAACATTTTGATCACTAAATAAGGAAAGATTCGGTGATATTTTTAAGTTTTAGAAAAGAAGATAAGTATACGTACATTAGAGAGAAATATATATTTACTCAAGAGTTCAGTGATAGAATAAGAACACTGAATCATTTCACTTATGTATTACTGAGTATTGCTTAGAGCTGAAAGAATTAATCCTCAGCGTTCATCATCCCAAGTTCGTTGATTAAGATTTTAAATCTTGACTCATCAAGAGGCTTTGTAGAAAGGTCAGGGAGTTGGTACTCAGTGGGTACGAAGTAAAGTTCAATTTTACCCTTCATAACATAATCTCTGATAAAATGATATCTGATCTCAATATGTTGGTCTTGGAGTGAAGAATAGGGTTGTTTGCAATTGCAATGGCATTGGTGCTATCACAATAGATAGAGATATTTAAGAGCTGAAGAGCATAGTTACTGAGCTGGTTTTTTATCCATAGAATTTGAGTACAACAGTTTCCAGCGGCAATATATTTAGCCTCAGTAGTTGATGTGGACACTGAGTTTTGCTTATTACTTGTCCAACTCACTAACTTTCCACCTAAAAGCTGACAGCCTCCGGTGGTGCTTTTCCTATCAATTTTGTAACCTCTAAAATCACTATCCGCATAACCAATTACGTTGAAAACCTGAGTCCTTGGGATACCAAAGACACATATTAGAAGTTCTCTTCGGATATCTGAATATGCGTTTTACAACAATAAGATGGGCCTCCTTAGGTTCAAATTAGTATCGTGCATACAAACAAGTAGAGTACATAATATCTAGTCGACTAGCTGTGAGATACAGCACGGAGCCTATCATTCCTCTATAAACAGTAACGTTTACAGGCTTTAAATTTGGATCCTTGTTCAACGAGAGGGGATGAGCCATTGGTGTTTTCATGGATGAGCTATTGGTTAAATCGAATTTCTTCAGCATATCCCTGACACACTTACTTTGATTGATAAAGATATCTTTATCTGACTGTTTGATCTGAATACCTAGAAAGTAAGTTAGTTCTCTCATCATGCTCATCTGATATTCTTTCTTCATGCGTTCAGTGAACCGAAAACACAAAAAGGGATTAGTGGAACTAAAAATAATATTATCGACATAAATTTGGACTAGAATGATTTGACCCTTGACTTTTCTAAGAAATAGGGTCTGGTCAATCTTTCCACGGACAAATTTCTCATAGATGAGAAATGAGGAGAGGGTATCATACAAGGCACGAAGGACCTGTTTTAACCCATAAATAGTTTTATCCAATCTATAGACATGATTTGGATATTTGGGGTCAAGAAACCCTGAAGGTTGTTCAACATAAACTTCATCATGAAGTTTTCCATTTGGAAAAGCACTATTTACGTCCATTTGAAACCTTAAAGTCTCTA